CCAACCCCCCCCCCCCCCATCCCCCTCTGACCCATCAGGCCCGATGAAGCTGGGCAGCTCGCTCCTCCACGCGCGAGTGGCGGCGGATCGGGGCGGAGATCCGAGCGCCGCGGGCGACTGCCTCGCGCAGGGGACTCGGGCTCCTCCGCCACCACCATCCCCCTTCCCCCCCCCCTGCTCACCACGCCCCTAGACACACGCACGGGCACACGAGCACACGCGCACACGCGCACACGCGCACACGCGCACACACACAGGCACACGCCTCACCTCGCCGCCCGAGCCCACCAATGCCCCTCCCCCGGGCCAATGCCGTCCATCGACCCAAACCAGCTCCTCGCTCCCTGCCTCAGGCTCCTCCCGGGCGAGACCTCCTGACCACGCCCGAGCCCCGCTTTCACGTGCTCGGCGCGAAGCGCGCCGCGCCCCCCCCCCCTCCCCGCTGCGAACGGCGTCTCTCCACGCCCGTCTCACTCACTGCGAGCAGGCGCCAAGAGCTACGGCCGAGCCTCGTCCTTCCTGCTCGCCATCGGGCACAAGCAGGTCCAGGGCGTCGTCGCGCTCCTTGCGGAGGCGCTGCTGCCAAAACCCTCCATGTAGCAGAGCCGTCGAGAATACGTGCGGGCTCTGAGGGTGCCTGACTGCGCGCGCACCGAGAGAGCGCGGCCGACACGCGATACAGCTGCGCACAGAGCACAGAGTCAGGAGTCAGCGCGGAGGTCGCATCGGCAGAGCGGCGCGGACGGAAAAGCGAAAACAGTTGAAACGAGACGGGCATCGAAATCGGAAATGTCCCGCACACACACATCTCCATGCATGAAGGGTCTCGCCATCAGTACATGTTAGGCGGCGTACAGTATGTGGAGAGCGAAAAACAACTGGAATACGTGACCTCAGAAACGCACACGTTGTCGTCACAGACTGACACCCGGTGTCAGATACACAGAGGCGGGACACAGCGCCAAGACCTCGCCGCTACCGCGCGAGAGACTCGCAGAGAGAGAAATATGATACCTACACTAAGCCCGGCTCAAGGTCCTTCCGAGCGCCGCCGCATCCGTGCGCCGCCGCAACAAAGCCGTGCGCCGTCCCATCCGTTCAGAGCAAGGTCGCCTCCCGACATGCGCACACGCAGAATCACCCCTTGTAGTGTGACCTGCGCGGTCGCCGCGCACGTCGCCCGCGGTGATTGCACGGCCTCGCGCCGTGGTTGGCGGGTTTGACCAGCCGCTTGCTCTTGCCCGCGTGCTTGCTCTTCCCCACCATCAGCAGCAGCGGCAGCAGCGCGGTCTGGGCGATGTGCCCGACGCTCGGAGGCCGGAGGCGCGCAAGCGCGGCCGGCATCCACGCGGCGGCGGTGGCGAGGGCGAGGGGCAGGGCGCTCGGGGCGGGTGCAGCGGATGCTGCCGGAGATGACGCACCAGCGAGCCGCGCGCCCCGCGAGAGGCAAAGCCGAAGCATTGCAAGAAACCACACGCCCGTTTCTTTCTGTGTGCTGTGAGAGAGAGTTCTTTTGTTTAAATTCTTTTCGCGCGGCACGCACACACACACACACACACACACACACACACACACACACACACACACACACACACACACACACACACACACACACACACACACACACACACACACACACACACACA